CTCTCACTGCACTGGTGTCTACTGCTGGGCCTGCATCTCTCGCTGCACTGGTGTCTACTGCTGGGCCTGCATCTCTCACTGCACTGGTGTCTAGTGCTGGGCCTGCATCTCTGACTGCACTGGTGTCTAGTGCTGGGCCTGCACCTCTCACTGCACTGGTGTCTAGTGCTGGCCTGCATCTTTCACTGCACTGGTGTCTAGTGCTGGGCCTGCATCTCTGACTGCACTGGTGTCTAGTGCTGGGCCTGCATCTCTCACTGCACTGGTGTCTACTGCTGGGCCTGCATCTCTCACTGCACTGGTGTCTAGTGCTGGGCCTGCACCTCTCACTGCACTGGTGTCCACTGCTCTCAGGCCTCCAGTGGTTGGGAGGATCATTTTCCTTTTTTGGAATATGAACCTAGATCATGTGGTGTGATCTAGCGTAACCACTGCGCAGATGTCAGGCTGCATGGCAGCTCTTTTTCCCTTCAGTTTTGCTATGCATCTCCGCAGGCCTGCGCCTTGACTAACAGGAGCCCTCAAGTCAGATGGCTGTACACACAGCCTGCGGAGCTCTGCTTGGTTTTGTCTCCTCGAAAAAGACACTTGGCGGTGTCTGACTTGGAAGTGACCAACCGGCCTCGCGGAGCTGACCCAGAGGGAGGCCGTCAGGGGGAGGCCGGTCACAGGGGGAGGCCGTCAGGGGGAAGCTGTCTCCAGGACACAGGGGGAGGCCGTCAGGGGGAGGCCGTCAGGGGGAGGCCGTCAGGGTAGGCCGTCTCCAGGACACAGGGGGAGGCTGTCAGGGGGAGGCCGTCAGGGGAGGCCGTCTCCAGGACACAGGGGGCCACACCCTGGAGGGCTGTCTTACTGGAGGATGGGGCATCTAGAGTATTCTAGACCTTCAGAGCCAGTCTGTCCCAAAACAGCGCACACTCCGCGCGTGCGGGAAGGGCGTGCAGGGCCGGCCGCACAGCGCACACTGCGCACACTCCGCATGCGGGAAGGGCGTGCAGAGCCCCCGGCCGCACAGCGCACACTCCGCGTGCGGGAAGGGCGTGCAGGGCCCCCGGCCGCACAGCGCACACTCCGCGTGTGGGCAGCGTGTGCAGACGCCGCACCCCAGATCGGCTCCAGTCACTTGAAACACGAAAGGCTTTCAACCAGAGGGCTGTCCTAGCAGGCGAGTGGGGACACCGAGGAGAGAAGCGGTGGACGGACCTGCGGGGCTCCGTGCGGGGCTCCGTGCGGGGCTCCGTGCGGGGCTCCGCGCGGCCGCGGGACTCTGCAGACATTACGCGGAGTCGCACCAAACGGAAGGAAGCGCAACTCCGGAACCCGCGCCCCAACTCAGCCCCACCGCACCGCCAGCCGGGACCAGCCCCGCACAGCGCCCGGGAAACCAGGAAACCGCAGCCGCGGCCAAGCCCGGCAATGAGCTCGAGGCGGCCGCCCTGCGGACCAGCCGCCCTGCAGACCGGCCGCCCTG